ACCAACCATGGAATGTAAATCTTATGGTGACAGGTTGGGGTTTAACTATGGAATTCGATGGTAGGCTTATATTTTAATTCATATAAAAGATGAGAGTCGAGCGCTATCCATATAAATACATTGTGACGTCACACATCTTACACAGAAACGACATCTTTGTAAAACAGGCTAACTACAATGTAAAAGTATAGCGAGAGGAGAAGGGAGTAAATAAAAAGGGGAAACAGATACGTTTGATTTACGTTGTAGTTAGTAGGTTATTAATAGATGGCGTTTATATAGTGTGCCCTTATTGCGCTTGACTCTCGATAAAAGAACAGGAGAAAAATAAGTAAACCTCTTAACATTCAAGCATCTTCGAGATCAAATGACTTAAAAATGGCACAATTGTCCACAATGCCATTACTCCAATGCAATGCAACTGTTATCGAATGGAATAAAATACCAAATAGTGCACAATTTCGAAATGGTCTCATTGATGGCCAATATTGTGCATACAATCCAGAGGGAATAAGAGATGCTTGCCACGGAGATAGTGGAGGGCCACTTCAGTATTTCAACGGAGTCAGCTCGGTTGCAAAGATTGTAGGCGTCGTGTCATTTGGGATTGTCTGTGGTGGTACAACTTTACCAGGAATTTATACAAGAGTGGCTAATTATTTGGATTGGATTGAACCGATCGTATGGCCAAATCAAGTTTGATATCAGAAGTGGCAGGCCTTTAAGTAGAAAAAACTTGATTATTCGATGAATTCGAAAGGAACAATAAAAATATTATTGAATCGAAGAAAATGTTGTAAAAGGAACTGTAGCTTCAAGTTAATTTTTTTGGTCAAGTTTTGATCTAAATATCTTTGTAACTTAAACATAGTAAAGCATGTTTTCGATTTTTAACCAGGAAATTTACCTTTTAATTCATTTATCTGTTCTAAAAAAAATCAATTTCAACAAAATGTATGAAACAAGAATAAAAATAAAAATCCAAACAATTTCCAATCAACATTTCCATTTATTCTTCTTTATAATTCACAAGAAAAAAAGAAACTCTAAAATTTAAATGTCATTTGAATGTCGGTTAATTCGTTATGTCATTTTAAAAATGTGTTTTTTTAAGTAAATTAGCACAATGCTCAACTGTGAGCCGATTAACGATTAATTCATTTTGAAATTGTACACGTTAGCACCAATATGCAAGTAAACTTTAACGGACGTACATAATTAGCACAGAATGCATTTCGAGAATTGTTTTATTATAAATGCGAACATTCCAAGCCAAAATATAGACATGTAGACAATTGAGCATTATATGTGGTGTATTATTTGGAATTTACGTATATATGTAACATAATAAATCGAATTTCAGTTGAACGAACTCGAACTGGACAATATGATTAAATATATTTGTATGCGGTTATGTGTGTGTATTTGGTTATTTAAATCAGTGTTGGGATTAAGTGATTCATTTCATATTGGTTCAATATTTCCAAAAAAATACAATTTTTTTTTCATGCTGGGACAAAATGTGCTCCAAAAAAATATCTCATTTCATTTACAAAACTAGAGACGTTTTTTTTCTCGCTTAAATTCACGATTTGTGGACCATTTGAACCATTTTACATTATTATTCTTATTTTAGGCATAGACAAAAGCTAACCCTACCAACAAAACATAAAATTCTACTGTTGGCTAATCGAGATTGAAAACTTTTTTCTTTCTTCAAAAAAATAATAATAATACATTTGCTTAATACTGGGAAGGAAGAAAGACAAAAAAAGAGAGAGAAAAAACACAAACTACACCTGTCTTTTGACCTTATCGCAATTATCACAGATTAGTAAATTTAACAATTAAATGAAGGAAACTCACTTGAGATTAGACACATTCAGCATGTTAACTAATTATTATGCCTAACATAGGTTTAAGAAAATTATTAGTAGATTTTATGGCATTCTTTTAATACTCTTCCACACACAAAGTGTGCATGGTTAATTTTGTTTAATTGTTTATGTGATTTTGTTTCGAGACAGCCTCAACATGATCATCGCGCTACATGGTTAGTGGGAGTGGACGACGATGAAGAGATCTGTGCCAGACGAATACTCTCCTAAAATAATTGAGAATTTATTTGTTATTAAATTGTTCAATTCCCACATAATGGAAGGCTTGCGATGTACGCAATTTAATTTGATTCAGGCAGTGCGAATGTGAAGTTGACGTGCTAACTTATTTTTCTATTTTGATCAACTAAATTGCTTCATGTTTGGAATGGATTTTCTGCCAATGTTTCAATAAAACATTTTAATTTTGGATTTTTTTTAGGGAAGTGCAATTTTTGGGTCTCTAAATTTCGGTGTAAAATTCTGTTAATTTAAAAAAATATATAACTTTCCAGAAGGCCAATTTGGGAAAAAATTATTCTTACAATTTTTCGAAAGATTTTTTTTTTTGGAATTTTTGAGTTAAAATGTGACAATTTTCATGTTTTAAAATTAAAAAAAAAAATTCGAATTATTTTCAAAATTAATTTTCTATGAAACATCCAGTTTCTACCGAATCTATTTCGGAAATTTTTGAAATTTCAGAAAAAAATCTCTTTTTTTTTTCGAAAATTACATAAAATTTCTGAAAAAGAAAAAAAAAGAGAAAATTAAATTCAATGAACTGTTAAAAATGATTTAAAAAAAAACAACTCTTATCTTTCGAATAATCTGATTTCTAATTCTAAAAAAAAAATGTTTTAGCTAATGCCTAAAAAAATATGCATTTTTAAAAAATATTGTCTTTCATCGGTGTGTGGAATGTATCCAAAATTCCGAATTCAAGGGTTCTCATAAAATATGAAAATCGACAAAAAAGCGAACATTTCTCTATATATTGCGTATAAAATAGCGATTAAACAAATTGGAATGCGTAACTACTGTGCGGATTGTGTTTGGGTGTATGTGTGTTGTGACGAGGTATTGCTTAAATAGGTACATGGAATAAATTTGTCATTGTTGCTTAAAGATCAACAGAGAGAGTGTCGATTTACAGCCGTTTTCGTGTGGGTGATGATGAGTGTGAATTGGATTTTTGTTTTTGTTTGTCGGTGTTTCGATGTGTTGTCGGTAGTTTCTTTGGTGATGTTGGTGCTGGGGGTTTTCTGGTGAGTACATCTTGTCCACTGGTTATATTATTTAATTTCTTATTGTTGCTCTTTTTCTCAACTGTTTTTTGGTGTCGATCATTAAGGCCGTCGCTGATTTTCTCAATAAAAGCCAGCGTATTTCTGCAGTAATTTTTCTGTGGTGTTTTATTGGCCGTACCTAAGGGGAGAATCACAAAAGAAAAGAATAAAATTGAAAATAATCGATAAGTAATCGGAAAATAATCGTAAAACAATCAATAATTGGCCGTACCATTTTGCATATCATTTCGTTTGGTTTGGAATTTTTTCGACGTTTGTTGTTCGATGAGTGGTTTTTGTTGTGACGATCTTGTGTTTAAAATGGGCGATGAAACCGGATGTAATCGTGTAAAAACGGACATATTCGGTGGTTTTGTAACAACCATATCAAAATGATCGATCTTTTTCGTCGGTGACAGCATGTCATTAAGTGAGACTTTTGATTGTTTTGCCTTGATTTTCGTGGATTTCTTCGATAGTTTTACGTCGACAATTTCTAAGGCGTCCAATTTTGATTTGCATTTATTTAAATTTTCACGAACTTCATCTAAAGAATATTTTATCGCGTCAAGAGATTCATCATTCTCGGGAAGTGCCACTTCGAATGTGGAATTTTTCTGTGTTTTTGGTGAAATAAATGTGATTTCCGTCGATTTTGGATTGTTTTCCGTTTCGATGGTTACATTCAATGAATCCGGATCGATGTAATTGAGACTTGTGTCGCAACTCGAATCGAAATCATCCGAATAACAATTGTTCAAATCTTTGACGTCATTCAACGTTAGCGAACCGTCGTTCACATGAATAATGAATCCTTTTTCACCATACGGTTTCGACTTCTTTCCAATCGGTTTGATATTATTGGCATCGGTCAACGGTAGTTTCGATGGGAAATTGAAATAATTTGTTCCACGATCCGAATCAAAGTCGTCAGTGTTTGACGATGAAATTGAATTTTCGTTGCCACTATCCCAAGATGTTCCGCTTTGATGACTTATCAAATTGGCCAACGATCGAAGCGATCGCTGCTTTTGTAATCGCTCTTGACGACGAAACCGTAGACTATTGCGTAATCGTTCACCATTTGGTGAAAAATCTTTACTCAAATGTGGCGATTTTGGTATTTCACGAATTAACGGCGAATACTCAATGGGCACGTTTTCATTTGTGGATGGCACTTGGTCTGTTGTGATCTTTTCATTTGGACTAAAACTACTACTATGACTACGATTATTATTGTCATTGCTATTGCTATTTATGTGCTTGCTATTATTGCTATTGGGACTGAAGCTAATACCATTTGGTGGTGTGCTTACATCGGACATTATTGGCATTATTATCGAACTTGGACCACTGTCCTCGATATCCATTGATGATGGCATCGATTCACTCATAATACTACTTTTATTGTTCACAATGAAATCAGACTTTTTATTCGACGGCGATGGTGATCGTGACGTTGACAGTCTTGTATCAATTTTCTTTGCCGATGGCGGTGAATCCAATTTTTCTAATGGCTCTTTGAAATTTTCAATATCGCAACGAAGTTTTGATGAAATACTCCGACCTTGCGATAAATGCTTCGCCAGATTTTCAAGCCAAACGTCCAGAACTTCAAATGAGGGCCTATGGGGAGAAAAAGAGATTCGATTAGATTTTTTTTCTTTGTTTTTTTTTTTAGCAAAATCAATGCAAGACCAAGCACCATCAAATATTTTTACAAGAAAAATTCCAGCACTGGCTTCCAAACAAATTGAGAGACTTTCGAAAACTTAGCATTTTTTCGCTTAGAAAATTGTCTCAGAATATATTGTAGTTGTCAAAATATTTCAGTTATAGGTTCTAATTTAAAAAACTTGTAGGAATTTTTCATGTGAAAATAATTGGTGAAATTGAGCTCAAGTAGTTTAAGAGACGATTTGAAAAAAAAAATCTGAAAAAATATTGGAAATATTTAAACTGTCTAAATTCTCTTGTGAAGCTTGATATAAACATTCCACCGCAATTTCTTCTAAGAGTCCCTGAACTTAAATTGATAAATTAATGAACTTTAAGGTACCTCGCATCAGGATTCAAGTCGCAACACAAAAACGCAATTTTATAAAATAAATCCGGACAATCAATGCAGAACTTTTCACGGAACACTTTTTGGTTCAGACCAAAATCAGAGGTTCGCGGTAAATAATCGGGATCGGCAAGAACTCTACCGATGATCTAAATAAGGAAGTTTTGGAAAAATTAGTAAATTGAAACGGAAAGTCATTATTCCAAGACATTTTTCATCTGGACTCACCTCACACACAACGATGCCAAATGAGAAAATATCCACTTTTTCGTCGTATTTCATCATTTTCATCATTTCCGGAGCCATCCAGTCTGGAAAAAAGATTTTTTTTGAGAAAAAATATTTAAAAAATTAAAAAAAAAAATCAAAAATTTAAATTTAAGATAAAAAATTATTTAAATGAATTAAATTTAATTTAAAAAAAATTAAAAATTTTAATAATAAATTTTCCACCAAAATTTCGAAAAATATCAATTAAATACGAAAAAAAATCGTAAATTAAAAAAAAAACACACAATGTTCACCCTGAAACTACTTACATGGATTTCCCACAACTGTATATCGTTGTCTCCTCTGTCTGTACTTCCGATTAACAGTGCCGTTGCCATCAACGGTCAATCGATTGCTGCTTTTGCAATTACCTGACTTGATAATGCGTGCCAAACCAAAATCGGCAACAATAACCGTTTTATCCTCCCGAACCAGACAATTCAACGAGTTCAAATCGCGATGAATGATATTTTTCGAGTGTAAATAGTTCATTCCGCATGCGATGTCTTTGGCAAACCGAATTCGACATTCCCATGGTAGCACCGAATCATTATTATGGATAAGATCTTTCAACGATCCGCCTGGCATTTAAAACAAAAAACAAATGTTAATAAATCAATATTAAAAATAAAGTACATTTGAATTAATACATACCCGGTACATATTCCGTAACTAAATGTAATTTTTTATCGCGATACAGCACCCCGATAAATCTCAATACATTACTATGTGAGAGTGATCGAAGTACGGCAACCTCTTTGAGAAAATTGCGTTGGGCTTCTTCATCGACGCGATACAATTCCTTTAGCACCATTATTTCTTTCGTGAGTTTATGTGTTACCTTAAATACCTGACCGAAAAATCCTTTGCCCAGTAGTTCGCCTGAAAGAAAGATAGAAAAATGGATAAAGCGCCAGCCTTTGTCTAACGTAAAATATGATATTACCAATCACAAGGTCACTGGCCCGAAAAATGCGTTGTGTGGACTCTTGTGTATCAACTCGAAACGATTTGGTGCGTGAAAGATCGTAGAATTCAACGGTGGGTGGATGATTTTCGTCGAGTAATTTCGACATGCTCGAGCATCGTTCCTTTTGATTCTTCAGATTATTCGTGCCGATGCCACAGTTCAAATTGAATGCTTTTGTTTTGCATAGCTGTTGGGTTTTTGTACCGCAAACATACGAATTCGAAGGTGATTGTAGGCCATCACTTGTCATGGCATCGTTTTGTGAAGTTTGTTTCATGTAAAGTCGTTCGGGTTTGGCCGTTGTTGGTGGCTCCCTCACTGACGGCGATCGGCTACAACATACATTGTAACACTTTGGAATGGTTGTTGCGGGCGACAGTGGACTGTCGGTAACACTTGGCTGTGTGGTTACTATTGTTGCTTCGGACACAGACTTTGTCAAACGATGCGGATCATGTTCGATGGTCAACTGTAAGACTTCGTTACTACTTTTGATTAGCTCGTCAATATTTTCAATGGACTTGCCGTTTACGGGCGTTCCATTCACCTCCAACACTTTATCGCCGACACGCAATGAAGCCGAATCGTTTCGCACATCAACCCTGTGATTTTTTTTAAGTAAAAAATTAAGATTAGTTTAAATTGTTCCGAAAAATTTAGAAAAAAAAACTACATGCAGTGTTAAACAAGGAAATATTTTGTAGTTTGTTTAAACTAATGAATGACAATGTGTTTTCGAACCAAAAAAATATATGTTCAGATTCAGCAAAAATGTCGAGGTAATGAGCATAACCAATACAGCCAATGTTTGTTTCGTTTTCGGGACAAAAAAATCAAATTTAAGCAAAATCAATTAACATGATTAAAAAATTAAGCGATGATTTTGACAAATAGCTCAAAATAAATTGGAAAATCGCAAAAATATTGAAAAATCGAGAATGTTTCTGTTTTTTTTCAAAAAAATTACCTATTGGCATCAGAATTGCCGTCAGTACTTGAACAGCATACATTTAATGCTGATGTGACGACAGCAAACACATATTTACCGAGTCGACCGTACATTCGACAAAGGCGACTTGTGTTTTTGGTTGCACCATTTTTGTTTTTTGATGTGGTTTTTTTTTGTTAGTAAACAAACAAATTTCAGTTAGTTCATGTCAAATTTATGTAAATTATGTAAAAAAAATGTGTGTTTTGACACGTTGTGTAAACACTTTGACCAACTGGTTCAAAATCAACACAGAGAATATAAATTTTAGTTCCATTAATCTACACTTCCTATTTTTTGAAGAATTTCTGAAACGAGGTCTGAAGCTTTCTTTGTTTAAAGCGCCAAAGGCACCAATATCAATAACATGCCAAAGACGCCGTTTTAAGATCGCTTCAGATTTTCGGCGAACATTTCAGAAACCGGACCTTATTCTTCACGTCAGTAATGTCCGAAACGAAATTTTTCTCGATTTCCTTTTTTCTCGAGGGTTTTTGAAGAAAATTTTGAAATCATCTCCCCTGGAAAATTTTGCTCGCACATTACTGATTCACGTCTACTAAGAACGACCGAACTGATGCCAAATTCCACATATCTAACTACACCCAATTCTCCCAAACATAACTATACAGTTCCATCGTTCTTGAATGTACAAATAAAAAAAAATATTAAACTCACTGTGAAATCCGTATGCCATTATGTTTTGTGGCGATGATAGGCATGGTACCATTTTGACTATCATCAATGGACAATCGAAGGGCGGTTTTGTTTTCATTGGACCATGGTATTTCCACTAATCGTATGGAGTGCGGAAGTGTCTTCTGTTGTTGATGTGTAGACGAGGACGGTGCTAAAATATCCGACAACGATGTCGGCGACTCAATTGACTTAATTGAGGTTTTATCGATTTTGACGCAATAGCAATTTCCACTAAAGAGAAAAGACGAGATTTTTTTCATTATTTCAATTTTCATCTTAATTCAACGACCACATTGGCTATACTGTCATCTGCTCAACTGTCGCACATGTATCAGACAGTCATGTTTACCAACTGGTCACGTTGTATGTTTCTAAAAATATCATTTATTTATATTTATTCGCACGCAGTATGCGTTAATTGACTACTTACCAAAACAATTTCGATCGTTCGACGAGTGCGTACGAGTCTCCATCACCAATGTACTGTTGACATGATACACAGCAAAAACATTCTGGATGAAATTTATGCTCGCCGACAATCATAATCGGGCCGCTAATTAGGGCCGAACATTGTTGGCAGCATTCGCCGAATCGTTGTAGGTAATCATCGCGGCAAAATAGTAGACTGTCCTTTTCAAAATACCAATGCGATAGTTGCTCGTCACACACCGAACACCGGAAACAGTCGGTATGCCAATTTTGGCCAAGCGCTGATATTATCCGGTCATCAAGATCATTCAAGCAACTTGCGCATTGTGTCAACGAGCTCAGGTTGTTTCGCAATAGTTTTGGTGACGATTTTTTTCCTTCACGGTCGCCTGCATGAGATGGGAGAGAAACAGAGGGAATCAGATTTTTAGAAAGAGAGAGAGAGAGAAGGAAGGAAGGGTTAGGAGGGTCAGAAGAGAAAAAGAACGAAAAAAACTGAAATCAATCATGTGACATGAATGAAGCACGCGAATTGTTTTTTGTTCGCAGATTGAAACGTGACTTTTAATTGAATTATCATCATTTGTTGTGGTTGTCAACCGAAAATCCAAGTAAAAATTTAAAATTAACAAATTTGCCACAAAACTATTGTCAAAAGACCAGATTTGTGGTTCGTGACAAGAAATAATGACATCTGTATTAATACAAAAAAAAACTTGGAATTTTCTTTCAATGGAGCAATAAAAAAAAGATGTTTAAAAAAATCATCTCCTTTCACAACGCATAAAATCGACGAGTAATTTAAAACAACAATCGATCGATTGTCAGTGAAAACAATGCAAATCGCATTTAAATGCCAAAAAAAAAACTCGTAAATCGCAAGTATCCAATTGGACTTGTACAGTCCATAAGCGATTTATGGTTGTAAACACGTCGTCGAAACGCGCACACGAGACCCATCAAATGTATGCATTGAATCGCGACCAAGACACGCAACGACAAAGAAACCAAAAAATATCCACGCAAAAACAAAAAGAAAACAAATCAGCTTATAAAGCGCTCAATTGACTGCAGTCAACCAATTAAATCAACACTCAATTCCGATGCGACACACCAAACTATATAAAAAAAAACCACTACATAGTTCGAACTAGCCACTGAGCGTTGTTGGTGTTTGTTGTTGTTCGCATTCATACACATGACGATAAAATGCAAAGAAAAGCGACAACAACCATTAAAAACATACACAATTTTATAGCCATTGATTAAATATTAATGCAAATCAATCAAAGATTTCACTTTTTTTATATCAACGCGTCGTCGTTGGGTGAATGGTCCGGAATTTACAACCTCAAACATTTCATTTGTATATCGACTTACGTGATTTCTGATTGATTTGTTCCATTTTTGTTGTTGTTATTCGTTTCAATTGTACATCACCACCAAAAAATACGGCGAATAGTTCATGTTTTTTGCGTTGAAATCTCACAATTCTCAACTCACTCAAATAAACAGCATGAATAAAAAAAAACAACAACAGAAAATAATAAAAAAAACGAAATGCAATCGACTTGATGTCGCCAGCGTGACAACAGTCAATTTTAGATTGAAAAGTTCTTCGGAATTAAAATGCACACACTAAATTTTTCCATTCGTCTTGCATCAACTTAGATGCATTTTGGTGTCACTACATTCCTTTCTTTCTGCTGTCACTTATTCTATATTTGTTTCACTTTCTATTTCACTTTTATTCAACTAATGGCATTCCAACACTTTTTGCTCAAATTATTGTTTTGGCATAATTTATTTCAACCAAATGGCAAATAAATGCGATAATTTTTTGTCAAATGTTGAGATTGTGAGAGAGATTGATGCAGCATTGATGTTAGGTCAGTACGTGCTTCAATATATGAAATAAATACACTATACTTTTTTTCATTGCTTCTCTTCTCTTGATGTTTGATGGTGCATGTATGTGTGCGTGCGAGTCAGTGAATGAGTGTGGATGTTGTCGCTGTCGTCAGTGGCATTTATGCATAAATATTTACAACAAACACAGTTTGTGTTATGCCATTCGTATACATCGATGAGTAAGCAAGCACCGATGTGTGCATGTGTGCGAGTGTGTACGTTTGACAATACTATGAAGCGACTTCAATTCGCCGAACCAATATGCGGTTGTATGCGTTGACATTTTTGTTGATGTTTATATTTTTTTTTCTTCTCAAAACTCAAAACATTCAACTTGAAACTCAAGCAAACATTGAACACAAGTGATATATTGTATGTGAATCGTCTTCTATTTATTCAGATGCAATCGAGAGAAAAATAGACATTCTTTCGACTAGACTCACGAGATATTCCATTGTTATTAAAATTGCGTCCGTTTGAGAAATTTAAATAAAATTGAATTTTTCGGCGAATGAACTTTCAGAGACAATGCGATTTTTTTTGGAGTGTAACATGTCTCTTAATTTGAATATTCACTTTTTTCCGTTGAAATTGACGAAAAAACGAAAAGAAATCAAAAAAAAAATTGTTGGTTTCCACTTGGTCTATTGAATGAGATAGAAAGACAGGGAAGCTCACATAATTGAATGAGAAAAGAGAGAAAAATAATAAAAAAACCGGAAAAATGCATGAAATGGGCGTGGATTTCAATAGCCTGAAAATTTCTAAAAATTCGTGCTAAAAATACGCACTGTTTTGGTTGAATCTTATTGAAATTCTTCTGTCTCCTTTCAGTCTCTCGGTAAATTATATTGATCGACCAATGAAACCTTACACCGTCCAAACCTCAATCAAACCAAGTGTTTTGAAGCATCATGTTTTCTCTGCGTTCCACTAAAGGTTTTTTTCTTCATACAAAACCTCTCCGTTCAACGCAAGTTCCGACATTTATAAGGTTTTCTCCAATGTTTTCATTCATAATTCATGTTTGTTTACAGTCTCTTCCAAACCGTTCAACCATTGTTTCGTGTTTGTTTTGCGTTTCGTTGCGTTTCTGATTTCGCTATATTTGCCTCACAACTACAAACGCGCATCCATCATCATCTGTCACTTGTGTACAGCAAATGAGCAAAAAAAAGTCAACCATTAGAAAATTAAACGATTGTCATTGTTGTATAAACATTTCTCTTGTTCTGTACGGTGTGCTTTGCGTGTTTTAATTTCTCCGCAATTTATTTTTCCACCGATCAAAATTTTGTTTGTTTTTATTTTTATTATTTAGATTTATTTTGTTGAAATACATATTCGTTTTGCATTTGCAACAATTCAATATTTTGAAGTGTGGATTTGTTATTTTTCCATTCAGTGCATTGATTTTCAATAGCGGAGAAACTTGTCACATTGTGTTGTCTAATTAGCCATTATTTTATATTGGACTTTGGACTTTATAGTTTTTTTTGTCGATCGTCAAATTAGTTGAAATTGAATATGAATAAGGGACGATTCTATGATGAAATGGATATTCAGGCGGTTGAATCGAAATTGAACGATGTCACAGTGACAGCAATACCAATGGCAAATGTTGCAAGCAAGCAACAGTACGGTCATCATCATTCAAATTCCAATTCGTCATCACATTATGGTTCATCGAAATCGAATAAAAACCAAAATAATCAATATTTAACCTATCAACAAAATCAATTGATACAATCTGCTATTCAGCTAGTACAACAACAACAACAATTGCAACAACATCAACAACATCAACAACAGCAACAACAGCAACAACGCCAAAGACAACAACAAGAACGAGAGCGAGAACGTGAACGTGAAATTTTGGAAAATGCTAATTTAAATCGATTGGGTAAGATTAATTTGCATTGTTTGGAACATTAAGAATTTGAGAAAAAATGTGCGAAAAATTGCGGTCGATGGAAAAATTGTGTTAAATCTCAAGAAAACTCCGAAAATTTAAGAATATATATGGAAAATACTATGAAAATCAACAAAAATGATGAATAAATATCCAAAATTGTTGAATACCGAAAGTAAAAAAGTGAAAAATGAAATTTTATCAAAGAAAATAATTCCAATTTTTAAGGAGAATTCAAAATTTAGAATAAAAAAAAGAAAAAAGAGACAAAATTAAATAAAAAGTTTTATTTTCTACGAAAATTTCACTTTTTGCAAAGAAATTTTTAACTTTTCCGAAGAAATCGTAAAAATATGTGAAATTGTGCACATTTTTGACTAAAAATTACCAATTATGTTCAACAATTTTTGTTCATATAAAACTGCAAAAAATCAGCTTAATAAGTGGTATTTCTACTGTAGTTTCAGCCACTCCACCGGCATCTCAACTGTACAGTAGCTATGGCCAGAGCAACAACGGATTGGGATTGTCTCAATCATCGACGTCACAAGGTTCGGGCCTATCGAAATATGCGCAGCTGCTGGCCGTGATCGAGGAAATGAACCGTGATATTCGACCAACGTACGCAATGGGACGTGGTGACCGTTTGAAGCGGCTGATTATTCAAGCAAAGGTACTTTTTCGTCGTCGTTCATAATATAAGAGTCTAAAAACAATATTTGCCCGACATACTGGACATTTTTGGCTTTTTGATATGGATTTTAGATCGAGATAAATGCTATTGATACTGGAGAATGTGTGTGGGTCAATGTTACGCCGATCTCTCGTTTATGAGAGGGAAAGAGAAGAGTTTTGAAATGTTTCACTAATTTCTCTCTTATCGTTCACACTCATATCAAGTCGATAACGGCGATGTAATCACATTCACCAGCTGCGTAATAGCACTCATTATCAATTGCATTATCTGGACAGTAAACTCGAGTCAAAAATAGTTAACTACTACTCGTTCTTAGAAGTGATAAATATAAAAAGTAAATTGTCTAATGCCAATCTATGAAACTTCTACGGTTAATTTGAAAATGAATCGTTGGTTTGTGATATCAAATAAGATTTATTGATTAGATTGGCATCAGAAAATGTTCACATTTATGGAGACTCACCTTCGTTCCTTATATCGAGCCTCATATTAAGAAGAATGAAATTAGATTAAAAAGAATTCAGGCAATATTTTAAAAGATGTTCTTTTTTTATTCCAGGTATTGGTTCGTGAATGTTTGATGGAAACGGAGCGATCGGCGCGACAATAAATAAAATAACGTATACGCGAAAAACAAGAGACTATAAAAAAAATTATTTTATTTTTCGACGATGACTTGGTGTGTGAATGTTTAAATTGAAATGTTTGATTTGGACTTTATATCTGTTTTCATTTCTAGCACCATTGAGTACTTATAGGTCATATTAAATCGTAGTTACAATTAACAGAATGAAAAGAGCGAAAAACGGAAAACAAATCAATATACAAAAGACCTTCCATTCCAAATCAGGTCATTTTATAAAATCGTATATTTTTCGATGAAAATAGAGAATGTTTCACAATCACATGCACTTTTTATATATATAGAATTACTCATCGTTTAGTATAAATAGAAAGATTTGAATGGAGAAAAAAGTTAAAAACAACGATGACACAGATCGTCACCACATATAGTTCAATATTTTAATATTTTTTTGTAATTGTTACCAAATCTCATTTGTGCACCAGCAATGTTTTGGTGAATTCATTGCATCAACGTTTTCTTTTCTTGCAAACACACTGCTCTCCCATAACACAACACACGCTGAATGGCATCGCAGCGACACATATTTATAGTTAAATCTCTTTATTTTTGTGAAAATTATACACAATATACAAACAAAAAAACAATTTATTAAAATGACAAACAATTTTGTAGAAGAATTGTTTTACAACAAATTTTTTGTAACTTGTAACTATTGAATAAAAACAAATAGCCGATTTAGCAAAAAAAAATTGGAGAAAAAAAATTATGAATTTTATTTTTTTAAGCGATCATTTTTGATTGCGTATGAGCTTGGAATTATAGTATATATGGAAATCAGCATATTTGAGGTCTGATTTGCATTTTGGCCACTTACTTTAGTCAATGTCAATTAAGTCAATGACCGAGGAGTAATTTGATTCTATAGGTCTGTGGAGTTGCATAAGGGTCCGAAGAAAACTGAGGTCACGGAAGAAGCGGGAGAGGAAGAATCATGAGTGATCCAACACTTACCTTTTTTATAGACTTTCAAGAGAAAAGATAAAAATTTGGATCAAACAATCTTTATTATTATGTTTTATTCAAAATTCTGTTTAATTTCAAAGAGTCTTTTACATAGAAAAAAAAGCATGTTCTTTATTCATTTAAAAGAAAATATTTACTAGCTTCTTTCATTACATTTTATGTACTTTATCTAATATGCCTCTTTGTTTCTTTCTTTATACTTCCATCTATTCCCTCTATCTCTTCTCCTCTCTTTCCTCTTCTCTCTCTAGCCGTCGTCATTCTCTCCTGTTCTCTCTTTACTTATCTCACTCTATCTTTGTTTCTCTCTCCACTGTTCTTTACTAAGAAAATGAAATGAAATTCATGATATTTGTTGTCTTACGCCTAAATGGTGTTTTTTTTAAGTTAACGACTTCCTTAAGTAAATGACAAGATAAGGTTTTATCGCCCAATATGGAGTTAGAAAACTTATCAATGTTAAAGAAAATTTTATAGCTCATTGTTTAACAGAGCGATTATGCAGCCAGAAACACTCCTCATATTGATATTTGTTGCTCATGATGTCTTAAAAACATATACTCGAATCACACAAACATATACTGGTTAGTTGACGAAATTGCGAGTCGCTGCACACCAGATCGCCTCTGTACTATAATAAACACATCATTACAACAGTTGATTAGTATCAACATTTTTTGGTAGTCTAGTAGAAAAAATTGGTTTCATAAGTTCAATATGAGCAAAATTCGGCATCCTTAACGAAAATTCTCGGATGTCCCGTGGTTATAGTTTTTTTATTGAAAATTGTAATTAGCACTGTGGGTTGACTGAGGATTTATGGATACTCGTAATGATTAAAATCAACTTCGAGGTTGGATAATTTTTCAGACAATATATTGAACTAACTGGTCAGTTGAGCTAGCTGACAGTACGTATTGGACTAAAACAATAGAAGTAATTGTTATAATGAACAATCACTTCTATTAAAACAAGAGAAGTGATTCATCATTAAAATAATAACGTCTATTGTTTTGTCCCATTTAGCTAGCTAACGTAGTGCCAGCTCAACTGAACAGTAGTTTAATATATTGTCTGTAATTTTTTTTAAAAAAGTAAGCAAAAAATACGGTGCAAATGACTTAAACCAAGGTCTAATCATCTTTTCTCATTTTCTTATCAATTCAGTGTTCATTGAATAAAATTTTGTTTTACCCTTTGTGACCTGAAACTCCTTGATTCAATTACTTTCGATCTTAAAATAAAAAACTTAAATTGCTTTTGATTTTCATACCAATCCCTTATATTTTTGATGAATACACTTATCCAAATCAGTTTTCGTCCAAATAATTTCAATGGGACTTTTAAACGTCACTTTAACGCTGATGCCACGGTCTGATATCCAAACCGAATGGATGTGCATTTTATCTTTTTTCATTTGTGCATATTCATAAAGCTCCCTAAAAAATCCCGTCAAATCATTTTCCACCGAAAACATTTTCAGATCAATTAACGAACAAATATTCAAAATACCCTTGAATTTTTCCGGAATTTTCGTTTTCTCAATAGAATCAAAATGTTTCAATATCTGTTTCTTAAGATCAAATGTTCTCATTTTAACGATAACATCAAAGCCGCTTCGTTGAAAAAGGGTATCAAAATCATTTTTTGTAATCTCCACATGGAGCACCTTGCAAATAAATGCAAGTATTTGGTGCAGTTCATCCTGACCAACCACCGTCATAATGCCGCGAATACATAAATTATTGTGATAAGCCCGTTGTCGTTTCAATTCTTTTCGGTGAAAATCACTCAGCTTGTCATCATCTTTCATTTTAGGCAGTATACCTTCGTTGGATTTTTGTTTAACAAAACGTTCTTTGAACGACCAAAACTCCGATCGATCATCGAATTTTGTGTTAAGCAAGTTGTGTTTGAATAATGCCAATCCATTGCTGAAAATAACACGCGTTCTCATATAGTAACGTTCCAATCGGCTATCGAGTGTAGTCTTGTGTTTGATGTGAACGTTGGTCATGTGATGAACGGTCTCTTCGTGTTGCGTAATTTCGTGGATGCTGTCAGAAAGGAATGAACATGCCGAACAACTATATTTGAATATATCGTTTTCAATGTGATCAATGAACGATGTTTCGCTTAAACTTTTTGCAGCTCCACAAAAGCCACACACAAATGCTTTTATTTCGTTCGGCCCATTCACCGCGGAATTAAATTCACACAAACCGTTTGGTGTTGAGTTAATTTTCAATAGATCGGTTACTTCGGCTTCACTGAAACACACCGGACTATTGATGCCGCCAAGCAGAGATGGGTCATGTTGTTGCTTAAAATGCACCACCATTTCAGAGGAGGAAAAAATACGATGGCATAAACCACATTTTGATTTATTCTCTTTGTCCACAATGACCATGATTTCGGAATGGTGACGGTGCTTATGGTGTGGAACAAGCTGGGGAAATACATCGACTTTATTACAATAGAAACATGCCGCTTTGCCAATGGCCACAAATCGAAATGGTTTCATCGACATTTCATGGGCATCCTTCCAATGGCCATAGACCTCTTGAAGCGTTGTTATGAATAAATTTATTTGACATTTACTGTAGAAACAGGCGAACACGAAGTCCTTTGTCGCAGGCATATTGTTTGGTGTCGGGATTGACTCTGTGAAGAGAAAAAAAACTTATGACACTCAAGACGGAAAATGGAAAAAAGAAGACAAAATAAAAGTGTGAAAGTAGAAAAAACTCGCAAAAATATCAAAAATTACCATTCATTTGTACGACGTCAGTTATTTTTTGCTTTTTACATGGTTCATGGTATGCAGCCACAGTTTTTCGTTTGATTTCTTGCTGCTCAACTGATAGTATGGATACGGATCGTTGAAACTGTCGATGACTTGGTGATGGTGGTATTTCATTTTCGATGCTTGCTGATGTCGTTGGAACATCTTCCATTTTAACAACGCATTCATCGAATCGCGTGTGATCTATTTCCCGTTTGATTATCATATTTAGTTCGGTCGACGATAAAAATGGTGAAATATTTGGTGAAACATTTGGCGATACCATCGGTTGATTTGAGGTGCTTGGCGAACATGTTGAATGTCGATCCATTGAAAAACACGAATCTAACGACGGCCGATAGTTCATTCGCTCATGCATGGCTGGCTCCGCTTCGCTTGTTGTTGAAATACCTTCCGTTGTTCCGATCGCATTTTCGTCGTCTTCACTTGAAATTGTCTCAACCTTTATGACACTCTCAACGAATTCAATAGTGTCGTCCGATGACATTTGTTCATTTGTCGCGTCGGTCATTTGGCATCGGTCGATTTCATTTTGGTGCGGATGTGATTCATTCTGAATCTCGATAAATTCCAATGATTGCTCCAAACTAGAAAACGATATTAAGGACAGAAATTTTAAAAAATGTTTTGAAAAAAAAAAAATGAACGATCAATTCGGAAAAAACCATTTGCGAGTTATGAATTTTCTACTCCGGAAAGGTATTTTTAGATAGATTGTATAATGTAGAACCCAAAAGAACCAAGCACTCTCGCAATAACATTGTTTACAATAGTCTAGACTCTAGAGTAGTATAGGTAGGTACGTTGGCCGCTTGGTTCTTTTTATTTATAGACTTTGAACGATGAAACAAATGACATTATTTGAGCAAGTGACTGATATAAGTCATGAGAGACGCCCGATGATCGTCACTTTCATATCATTTCGTTCTTAAACACATTTCAAATTCAAACCGAAAGAGTTCAAAATTCTTTTACATGAATCATGTCAGTCCATACTAGACTGAGTCATACACGAAATTGATTAAAATTTAATAATTGAGACTTTATTCTTAGCTGGTTATGACAAATCTTCGAATTTATTTGAATCAAAATCAATAAACTTTCGATTGATAGACGGGACCCAGAATGCGTCTATCGTAAAGTATAATACGCACCAACGAGTTGTTGATAAGCGAAGCATTTGTTTACGAATACCGGAGAATATGAAAAATAGTAGAATTCGGGAACGAATGACTTGAGAAGAGAATGTTTTCAAAGTGTCCATATACATCTTTTCGTTGTAAATTTTGTTTTTTTGCGAACATTCGTTCCCGAGTATCTTTCACCGTTTTGCCTATTCTCCGTTATTCGTAATCAAATTTTCGTCTATGTGTCGCTCGGACGCTCGGAATGACGTTTCTTTGCTTTAGAAAAAATGATTTTTTTTTTTTCGTAAATTCGTATGAAAATGTGTGATGTTTCATTTGACGTAACGCGTGATTCTGCGTAGATATTAGGATAGATGCTAGATGGTGTTCATTATGTGAAGCCCCACTAATTAGTATAAAAATTGAAAACCAAATCGGAGTAGTATAAAAATACGCGTTCAAGGCCAAAGAGATTTAGCCAATGACGACAAATGAGATTCCAATCAATTTTCGGCATCCCTTTGTACAAGAATGCGCATTGCGCATAGGTATGAATTTACTTTTTTATGATGATTTTACATGAAAAATTCGCTTTTATATGTATAAAGTAAATATTTGCACGAACACTGTGCGTAAGAATAAGAACATGCAAGCAGCGCCGCACTCGAATGCATTTGATTTGAATTATAAATTGAAGCGGTGAGAGTTCGATCTAACCAAATTACACTAACAAAATCTACATACACGCTCAGTGTTCGTATTTGCAGAGTACTTTTTTCTTTAAAAAAAATTCAATTGTTGATTCGTCAATGAAATTTGATTCAAAATGTGTGTCTCTTTTTTTTGTTGATTCAAAAAATGTCTGTCATTATAAGAAATATTTTTCGACGATTTTTCACGATACTTACCGATTTAGTACGCTTTTCTTGAAGTGTTCTTTAATGCGTGTGTCGAATCTTTGTCCAGATCGTGAGAGTAATTTAACAATTTTATCCAAAATAACCGTCGTTTGGCTTTCAAAATCTGAAAGGTAGTTATTAAGCACGGGTCTCCAATCGGACGTCATTGTTTTTTGTTTAAATTGTACTTCTTCTCAATTTCCTTATGATTTTGTGTCTATTTTTTCTAAATCACCATCAAATTTGCATGCACCGTTTTCGCATTATCTTCCATTTGAATAATTTTTCAAACAAATCCACAACACATTTAAAAATTTTTCCAATAAAGCACTTATTAATTCGTTTTTTTTTTCAATCAAAACGTGATTTCTTTGAGAACAATTTATTTTCTTCCGTGCTAAGCAAGGTTTTGTGCACATCACAGTATCATACAAAATGATCAAATGTAGTTATTGACACGTTTGTTTTATATATTTGCTTGAATTGTAGCACAACAATGTAGATGATGCGGCACAATGTGCACTAGAGAAATACGAATAAGCACAATTGCAACAATGACACCAAAAACTATGCACTGTAATTGGATCACTCGATTAAATCGACGGCATTTACATTGTTTCAATGTAAATCTACAATTCCTGTTTATGTATACGCAGCGATTTGTTATTCAATAAATAGAAGTGTTTTAATACAAAAATGCACTTTTTTCTTTCAAACATTTAAAATTATGCAAATACTGAATTGAAGGCTCCAAAAATATTATTATAATGATTTCATAAACACCGTTTTTAAATTGAATCAATTGTGGTGTCAATCAGTGTAACGCCACATATTCGACAAAAATGTATGTTCAGATAATGAAAACACCGTACAATTTTGTTATGTCTTTGCAAGTGCGAGGCTAAGTTAATACTGCCCTTGCATTTCGGAGCGATTACATCAAATGGCGTTGTGTTACTGTTTGTAATATTACACATACACATGACTCACATACATATACTGAAGAGAAAAAAACTCTCACTTAACCTCATTCTAACGCATGTATGAGTATTTTTTTCATCTTGTGATATTTATAGCTTTCGGTTGTTGTACACACACATATTCGTTTGTCGGTTGTCGCACTCCGTTGCGTTCGATATATCCTATTTAAACGAATGTGTGGAGATATTGACTCCGTACAGCAAATTCCTGCGTATTTGTATTTTTATAGCATTCTGTTTATGGTTTAAAATTTTATAGCTTTTAAAAGGCAATTGCCAATAACGTCCGTTCGATATGGTCGTGAATGAATCGAGACATTTACAATTTAAACAATGGTTTTGTGCACCTCTTTCATTCTTCTCTTTCTCTTCTCTCTGCTTTCAATCAATTGCAGTCGAAGTCAATTATTCGATTCTCCGCTTTGTCTCTCTGCACTCAAAAACCACCAAAGCGAACAAAAAAACGAAAAACCTATATCAATTCGGCACGGATATTGACAGGTTTTTTCTTCATGGTAATATTGATTTTGATTTATTGCAGGTATGTGGATTTTTAAGAACCGGGCGATAAATGAGGTTTTTGAGTAAACTTATCGCGCGAGAAAGAAAAATCTTTCAATAGAAGAAAATAAGAACAAAGTGAAGAACATTCTTTCATCATTGGTTTGCTTTGTCGGTGGAACCTTTTGTTGCTTACATTTATTGTTTTCAGTTTTTTGCTGTTTCCATTTACTTTTTACGATAGGAAAACAAGAAGAGTTTGTATTAAATAACGAAAGATCCTCTCTTTTTTTACTCTCACTCATAATAATGAAAATTAAGCAATGTTACATTGTTGCTTGCAATGTATTACTTGCCTGAGTTCTTTCGTGTCCGATTTCAACAGGCCACCAATCATTGAAAATCGTTCACGATCATGATCGGACTGATTACAATGGGACACAATCGTCTAGGAAATAGAGCCTTTAGAGAAGATGAGTAGAGCATAGATAGACTCATGTGTGCAAGCTGTAAATATGAAATTATCCAATGGATTAGCGCGGCAATTGGTGTTGAACACAATTGATACAATGTTGATATTCCTAAAATTCAGTTCCGAATTTTCTTTTCCCTACTGTCAATGTCTTCTAAAAACGCTGTTTAATTACGACAAATATTTCAATTGTTTAACGGATTTTATGTTGTTTTATTTCATTTTATTAAGACATTTGATTGAGTGAACATCAATGGCAAACCATCAATTTATTTGATGTGCTGAGCTGACTTTAGTTTAATATTGATTTATTTAAATTGATACCGGCATTGATATTTAACGTAATTAATTATGAATAATGGCATCAGTTTCAATGTTCAGTAGTTTTTTTTTATGTCATTTAACAATTGGAAAATGCACAACTGATGATTGTTGGTGTCTGATATTAATTGCTCAATTTTATAGCTGTTATGATATACCAATTCCAACCTTTCACTTTTTCGGTGACTTCCCATCCAATGCCCAGATTTGCCTTCAAAGAGCCCCAATCGAAACTACAACGCATTACGAAGCGCAGTTTTTTCAACAATTTGTAATCTTTCACCAATTGAATGACACCATCAGCTGTTATTTTCACATCATGAAATTCAATCTCTTCCACCAACGGCACTGCTTTCATAATTCGCTTCACAAATTCCTCATCTATCGGGCTGGCCAACCAGAATTCGCTCGCCAGGCTCAGTTTGATGATGGAAGAGTGCTGATTGAGGAAATCGATGATATTTTTATTATTGTAATGGATGCTAAAACGGAAAGAAAGTGAAAATTCTTGCAAGCAACTAGATACAATTGGAATCTTGATCTTCAAAATGTCAAAACTGGTAATTTTCAGCACTTTGAGACCCGCAAAATTGGCAACATCTTCACCAAAATCTGACAAGTCCTTGGGCCAACATCGAATGTCCAAATGTTCGAGTGACCGAAGGCGTTGACTTGCGGTGCGAAGAAATTCGGTCGTGTAATTAGTGTCCAAGGTCAAGCGGCGCAACTGCGGATTCAATGATAATATATTGATGGTGGATTTTATTGTGGGAGTTGGTATCGGTCCTTCGATTTCCAAATGCACCAAGTGGGGATAGTGTGTTTCGATACACTTGGGCTGAGATTCAACATGAATAAGCTTCAAAGTATGCATCTTTGGAAAGCAGTGGTGCAATTGCATCGATTTCCCTTTCAAATTGCAAAAATTGATGCAAACCATTTCGACGTTCATAAATGGCTTCTGCATGAAGTCGTCTTTGGACATTTCGAAAAATGTGACTTCAGTTGCTGATTCGCAGCAATATTGATTGACATACGGAACCACCTTTCGCGTATGTATGACCAGGTTTGAGATAAGGTGACCGAAGCTTCGCAATAGTCGATATGGATTACGTAATTCGATTGATTGAGCGGAGTTTCCGTTCGATTCAATTTGGAAGCAGCGTGAATTAATGACCACTTTTGATTTCTTACCGCCAAAATTCCGACCGAATGCCAAATCAGCCGCTGCCTTCAATCGCTTGTTCGAATGGGCAATGTTCAAAAGGTCTTGGACGCTTAAGTGCAGGAATATGCGCTCAAGACAGTCATTGTTCACGTTCGTTAGTTTCATTTTGGAAGCTTTTTGTGCTGATGGTTTTGGGCGCTTGGGATTCTGGTCACGATACGAGACTTGCTTCCGTTTTCTTAATGAGTATCTATTCATTTCGACTGGGACGGGTTACCTTTTGATGACTCTGAGCTTGACTGTCTGTAAACGAAATACACATTAAAATCGTAATAATGAACGAGCATCAAATAATTTCGTAAACAATATGAAGTCAACTTGATTGCAGATACTTTGGCAAAAAAAAATCATCAGAATTTACACACAAAGCTATTATACATGTACAAATTTCGATCTAAAACCAGAGCACGTTTTTGGCCAGAAACATATTTGCGCAATAAAATGGTGGTGTACATACCTTTTCAAAATATTCACAATAAAATTATATTTTTATTTGCTGCTGCTTTTTGTAATGCGAATGAATGTGTTAAATACAGTAAAAAATGGCGGTGAACAAAGGAAAAATAATAATAAATTGCTATGTTACTGGCCTGCATGCTGATGCAATATGACGAAATAGCACAATGAACGCACACAATCACACAGTCTGACGGTGCTTGTCAAACTTATTGAAAAATGGTACAGTGAGGTCGCTGCTATGACACATGACAAATCGTTGCTGGAACAACATTCTGAATTGAAAGTAGAACCGAGAGTTTTTCAATGAGTTTTCTCTGTAAATTTCTCTAATTTGTACATAAGTACGTCCCAATAGTTACCGAAATGATTTCTTTTCATCAAATTATGCGTTTTTTAAATCTTTTTTTCAAACAATGTTATTGCCTAGAATTACGACACCTAAACCAATAAAAGGAACGACGCTGTTAATGTAGTTCGCTGCTTTGGGCAAACTTTGATCGAAATGTCATTGAGCTGAAACACATTGACTCACATGCGGCGCACACAGATGCAGTTTATATAGTCGCAGTCACACCATTCCAGTGAACTCGGCCTTGTTTTATGCTGTTCAAATCGTACGCATACATAGATAGATCAGATTTTTGCGCAACCATCTCATTGGGGACGTTCAGTATATTTCTTTTATTATTTGCTTTGGTAGAGAGAGGTATCGCAAGAGCGACAGCCATCTTGTTTTTGGAACAAATTTAATAAAATTTTCTCCATTTCCTGTCACAATTTCAAGTAAATCGATATGTGTTCTCATTAAAAACACAAAACTCCGCACAAAATATCGTGAAAACAGTTGTAAGTCCTTTTTAAAAATTTATTTTGTTTTATGCATCATCATTTTTCGTGTTGATGTAATTTTTCACACTAATTTTTTCTCAATTGACAATTTACCGCCACATATTTATATGAAAATTGAGCATGATTAATTTTACACTTTTTCTTCACAATTTTCTTTGTGAATTTGCAGAAGTTTTCCTCAATTCGGTGAATGGAAATAGTAACACCACATCGATTGTCAAGCAGAAAAATTGTGAAATGGAATCGACCGAAAGCAGTAGCGGTCAGTGTGGTGACCAAGTCGACGTGAAGCCAAAGCTTGAAATCAAAGAGGAACCAGATGATGGCATTGGACTCGTGATTTCATCTTCATCTCGACACATTGATTCGATGGTGCCTGAAGATCATAACGAAGTCTACGATTTCTCGTGTTTGGATTTGGTGAAAGAAGAAATTGATACGAAGGTTGGAATCCAATCGATGGCGAAAGAAGGTACAGCGAATGAACAACGTTCAGGAAGCTGCGACAAAGCACCGAGCGACAAAGATTTCCCAATTGATTCGGCTTCAAAGCCAACGAAAGGATTGAAGAACAAAAAACGACGAGACCATGTTTCTGTACCACAGAATACATCCAAACAACACAAGTGTGAAACTTGTGGTTATGTCGCCAAATGCAAATCAAACTTGACCGTTCATTTACGGAAGCACACCGGCCATATGGATGCAATCACTGTGACAAACGATTCCAGATAAAACGGCATCTTCAAAGCCATATGAAAGTTCATGTCGCGGAATTTTTATTTCATTGTCGTGGCTGTCTGAAAGGATTCGACGCAAAAGACGAGAAGAAGGAGAAAAGAATTGCAAAATAAAGCGTTACGAATGCCACATCTGCGAAGATTCATTTGGATCACAAAAAACAAGTTTGACAGTGCACATGCGTGTGCACAATGGCGTGCAGCCATGGGAATGCAAAGAATGTTTCAAGAAATTCAATCAAAACAGCAATCTTCGACGTACGACGTGGAACAGACCCACACCAACCATGCTCAAAACGGCCTGATTCGGGTTCTCTGACCTCAGAAACTCCCAGAAAACATGTTTTTGAGGTTTCGTAAGTTTCTTGGTGGATCACATGTACAAGCACACCGGCGAATATCCATCATGTGAATTATGCCGAAAAACATTTGCCACAAAATCAAACCTCCAAAGGCACAAAAGACGCATTCATTCCAAACACATTTAAATGAACTACAACTCTTTGTTGCAAATGGAATTTAACCACATTCATTGCCGATAATTTACTAAGAAAAACAAAACAAAGCATTAATTAGAAACTGAAATAAATTCAATAAATCTTCTCCAATTTGCTTAATTCCATTTCCACAATAAGAGATTCCGTTACTTTGATTGTTACGAACTCAAATTTTTCTTTTTCAAACCATCATTTTTGATAAAAAAGCTCTTCAATTATTATAGAAAACAATAAACAATAAATGTCTCAATAGGTCAAATGATCTCTTGTCGTTTTATTTCATTTCCTTTAAAGATTTGATTTCAATTAACATGATTTAGAAAACATGAGCTCGGTAAGGGTTGAATTTATGGTTTATTTTGACTCTTTGACTTTAGTTTTATATGGATCTATTAAAATTGACGATTGAAAAATGATATTTAAATAGAAATAACGTAATAAGTAATGGTATGAAGTAGTATTTTCGGCAGTATTTCTATGCCATGTCATAATTGAAAAAACCGGATTTGATTGATTGTTGATATCAATTGCTCATTTTGACAGCTGTTACGTTGTACCAATAGAATTCATCTGGATTTTCACTGAACGCTTGCCATCCATCGCTCAGATTCGTCTTCAGCTCATTAAAATTGGCTTCGGCATCCATTGCGAAGTACATCTTCTTCAAGGATTTGCAATCGTTCATCAATTGAGTCGCGCTCGCAATTGATAGTTCCAATTTTTGAAATGTAATCTCTTCCACCAACGGCACCGCCTCCATAATCTTCTTGACACTTTCCTCATTCAATTTCGGTATCCCTGGGTACCAACAGATCACCTTCAGTTTAACAATGGACGGGTGCTCCTTTAGAAAATCGATGAAAGCTTTATCCATTTGAGTGCCAAAAAATGTCCATTCAAATTCTTTCAAGCAGCTGGAAAACATTGGGACCTTAGTTGGCGATCTGCCTTCATAGTCGATTTTCAGCACTTTCAATTGTGCAAAATTGGCAACATCGTCACCATAATCGCTGAAATCTTTGCGACAAATACGAATGTCAAGATGCTCAAGCATTTGGAGGTCTTGACTTGCAGCCCGGAGAAATGTTGTGGTGTAATTGGTGTCCAATACTAATTGCTGCAACTGTGGATTCAATCGAAGCATATTAACCGTGTCTTGAGTTCTCGAAGTTGGTAGCGCACCTTTGATTTCCAAGTGCTCCAAGTAAGCGAAATTTGCTTTGATACACTTGGCCTGTGCTTCGACTCGAATAAGTTTCAGAGTACGCATCTTCGGGAAACGGGTGTTTAACTGCATCGTTTTGCTGTTCAAAATGCAAAAAATGATGCAAACCATTTCGACGTTCACAAATGGCTTCTGCATACCGGTGAAGTCGTCTTTGGACATTTTGAAAAATGTAACTTCAGTTGCTGATTCACAGCAATATTGATTGACATACGGAACCACCTTTCGCGTATGTATGACCAGTTTTGCGATGAGATGACCAAAACTTCGCAATAGTCGATATGGATTACGTAATTCGATTCGTCGTGGTGATTTTCCAATTAATTCAATTCGGAAGCAGGATGAGTCGACGAATACCTTCGATTTTTTTCCGCCAAAATTGCGATCAAATGCCAATTCAGCCGCTTCCTTCAATCGCTTGTTCGAATGAGCAAGGCTTAAGAGGTCTTCCACGCTTAAGTGCAGGAATATGCGCTCAAGGCAATCATTATTTACGTCCGTGAGGCTCGTTGTGGATGTATTTTGTTCGACGATTGGTGATGGTTTTGGTTGCTTTGCATTCTTCTTCTGGTCAGCACCACCATATGCGACCCGCTTCCGTTTTCTTAGTGAGTATCTATTCATTTTGACTGTTGGCTTTTTTCTTGATGGCTTTGTGCTTGGCTACGAAATAAAATATAAAGTAAACTGTTGAATCATAATGAAGGCAAATAATTCACTAAACTAACAACTAATCAAACGATTGCCTTGTTGAACAAATTTTTGAGGTCACCAATTGACACCAATGGTGAAATCAGAACTTTTGTATTATTCTCACTCTTTCTTTCAAAATTCCCAAAAAAAAGATACAAAACTTTTTTTACGACCGTTTGTCCCAAAGTACATTTAGCAAGAGAAATATTCGTGTAAATAAAATGGTGGAAAGTGTATGGTATCTCAATGGTATACATACCTCCTCAAAATAATCACAAAAAATGATCCTGTTATTAGGTGCTGCTTTTTTTAAATCGAATATGTTTTGTGAGAACGTTCTATTTTCACGATTCCGTGGCTTTCAATGAGATTAGAAATATGGAACCCCAATTTATTTTAGAATTGTTGATTAATGCGACGTTGAACGTGTCTTACTGATCAAATGAGAGTGGATCTATTGTTGGCATCACTACCATATACCTATTACGAGAACTGTCATTGTTCGAAATGTCATTCAGGTTTTACGTAACCCGAATATTTCTGGCGGCACAATTCGAACAGTTGTTTCGAAAGAGGCAGAAATTTAATAGATGACAAAAACATAGCAATATATCATCCAAAGAAAGTCCATGTAGAATTCAGAATGAAAATGTGGAACAGAATCAATTAAACTTTTCGGTATAAATAAAGAAAAAACAATTTTTGTTTGATTTTATTTTATTAATCAAAATAAACATTTGTATTCGAACAATGTCTACTCAAAAGCAGCTATTTTTTCTTCAATTTTAATAAGCATTTTGCTGCAATGAGCAGGTTTCTCTAAATTGAAAATTACTTGTGGATCTTTTTATGGCGGTTGCAGTTGGCTTTTTGTGCAAAGCATTTCAAACACATTTCACATTGGAATGGTTTCTCCCCAGTATGAAGAACACTCATGTGATATTTCAAGTCTGATTTTACTTTTCCGCACACCTAGTGTAGGGAAGGTATTGTATTAGGCCAAAAAATTAAAGTTATCCCAAAACATGTTTTCTATGCATATTTAATGTAGAAAACACGATTGGAGATGATTTTGGGGCATATTAATGTGCGTCGCTGTGTGTGATGTGTCCTGTGTCCTGTGTCCTGTGGCGTGTTGCCAAAATTTGTTAACTCGATAAATCTTCTTCCAAAAACTCAATTCAAAATCTGACTTTTCAGGATGATTTGGGACCACTAGGAGACGTGCTGATTAGTTTTTGAGCAATATCTGTTGACCGGTGTAATTTTTTTTGGTCCGAATGGAGTACCCACATCCATACATTTTTTGATAATTTCTCAACCATTTTGGTGACACGATGGTTTCGTGCTCAGACATGAAATTCAAAATCTGACTTTACCGAATGATTGGGCACTACGAGGAATAGATCTGGTCAAATTTTCAACGACATTGATTGACCGGTGTAAAACTTAGACTCTGAAGAGGCACTTATGAGAAAAATGCCTTAAAATAATTTATTATTTCAATTTGAACGCTGAAAGAATGTGTAGTGGGGGGTTTTTTGGCACGAGAAACCTGAATCTGATGTTAGTTTTAAGATGCAATCAATTTTTCACAGACTTTTCATACAAAAATCCACAAAACATTTCATTTTTGTATGAAAGACTTGCCTTTGTGGTACCGTAATGATGTGAAACTTTGAACAGGCTATTTTTTTGATTGAAATTTCTTTAAACTTGGTGTGATTATTTATTTTGATAAGAAAATAATATTCACAAGTTTTCACGTTGATTCAAGTTACTGCAACCATACATAGACCATAATTTCAGTTTATTCCCAAAATTTCGGTTCCATGCGGAAAAGTCAGCTTGCGTACGTAAGCCTCTTTATGCGATTGGTTTTGGATTGCTTGCACAAATGGCATTTGAAGCCGCGTCGCTTACAATTTTCTTTGTGAATGTCCTTATCAATTTGCTGTCTAAAGTTTCTGTAGCAAATGGACGAGTATTGGTGTGAATTGGCATATGCCTTATCAAATTTTCCTTGCGCAGAGTAGAGTATTCCTTGCATATAAAACATTCATAACGACGAACTTTGCACCCAGATTCATGTTCCAGTTTCTCATTGCTCTGGACAAATCCTTCCAAACAATTTGAACAATTAAACTGAAATTCATCAACGTGTGCCTCTGAAAATGTTATTTTTGATTGAATCGTTTTGGACACAAGGTGCGTGGAAATGATTTTTCGCCGGTATGCGTGAAAATGTGTCTTTTCAAATCGCCTTTGCGCGGAGTTGCATAGTCACAGAATGAACATTTGTGTTGTATCCCCTTTGTCTTTGTTGCAGCTCCGGGACTTGATGTATTTGCCCTTTGTGTTCCAACATTCTGATATCCGTTCTTCGCATCATTTTTTTGATCTCCACCAGCACCACAATCAACGCTCTTTTCCAACTTTTCGTTGGTCGCTTCTTCTTTCAACTCCGGCAGCCGAGTGACAAAGACCATCGAAATCGTATATTTCATCAAATTGATCGGCGTCAATTGAATTGAATGGTCTATCGTCAGCTTGTATTGGTGTCGATACCATGAGTATATCATCTTCTGCTTCTTCTTTGATAGTTGGCTCCGATTTCACTTCGATTCCGGGCAAAAGTCCATCATTTTCGGACCCCTTTTTGTCGGGTGGCAGCCTGTTTTCACCATTCATTGCGACGCAGTTCACGTGCTGTCAATTGGAATTATTTTTCTTCAGATAAAAAATGTATGGCTTCAAACACGAACACAATCGTTTGTATATACAATAGTTTACCTTTTTCGTGAATTTATCAGCAATTTGAAAATGAAAATGGCCCAAAATTCAATAGCAATAATTAATTTAGAAAGTTAATGGTCACAGATGAGAGCCGAGCACTCATACAAAGTGATGAAGTTCAATCACATAGTTCGATGTTGTCTATCAAACATTGAATAATAGTTGAGTGTTTGCACGGTTGACACATGCCAAATTATTGCGCGAAAAACATTGTGAATCGAAACTAGAACCGACCTTAATATACTGTAGTGCCAAAATTAAGGTGAACAAACTGAACACATGATTTTTCCGTAGATTTTAGCTAATTTTATTACAAGTGCCACCAAATTATTTCAAAAAATAATTCGTTTTCATCAAACATTTATCCAAAAATATAAATTATCCCGAATGGTGACAATGGAAAAACGTTGTTGTACTGATTTGGGTAAATCTTTGATCGAAATGTCATTAAAATGAAGCGACTCTTGCACACATAAACAAAGTAGTCATTTCGATTGACACAGTTTTAGTTTGTGTTCCAAAAATTACACGCATACATAGATCGATCCAGTTTTAGCACCAACATATCAGTTTGTATAGCGAGATCACCAGAGGTGACCTTTCCGCATCTACAACACATTTTACAGAATTTTCTACGATTTTCCTTGCTCTATACGCAATTTTCTTTTCTCTCTTTATCACTGAAATAAATCAATTATTTTTCTGGTAAAAAAACAAAGAAACGCTACAAAAAAAATCGTGAAGAAAATTGTAAGTAAAAAAATTATTTTATTTTTTATATAAAAAAAATTTATGGCGGCCATTTTTGTCAAAATAAATTTTTAATCATTCCAATAAAACTCACGCCATTTCCTTCAATACTAACCATAAATATTGAAGAATATTTTCTAAATTTTCAATTTAGCGATAAATGGGATTGAGAATAAACCATCGATTGACAAACGGAGAATTTCTGAAATGAAATCGAGCAGAAAAAATCTGGTTAGTCACGAAGTCGAAGTGGTGCCGAGAGCTCCAATTAAAGTAGAGGAAGATGAAGGTGACGATTCGTATATGTTCACGGAACCGGTTTTGACTTCGGCTACTCCCCGTTTAATTCTCAAGTCACCGGCATACGTTGAGCCAATGTATTACAGTTGGCCACTCCAAACTGGACCCGATGATAGCGTTGAAATTCTGGACGTAATCCGATGGGTATGCATAGATTTCCATTACCTTTGGTTAATTAATAATTACATTCCATTACATGTTGAAAGTTGATTAATTTACATTATTTACGTTTTTCTTCTGATCATCCCAAGGTATGCAAAGATATTCCGTACATTGAGGCAGAACTCAAAACCATCGATCTGAATGAAGTGGACACAACATGTTACAATAGTATGCGCCACGTTTGCGATTCTTACAATAAAGCGATCGACACTATGGCTAATATTGTAAGTTAAATTTGATTCTCTCTTAATCCTCTACTGTTTCATTGTTCGATTGAGCCAAAATGGTTATTTTAAAGTGGAGTGTGTCCCACTTAAAATAAACTGAATATAATTATGTAAAATTTCGTCTCTAGACGGTCCCAGTAGAGGGTTAACGCACACATTTTCTGATGAAATATTCGATGAGAAAACTTTGTTGACTTTAAATTAATTTCTGTTGATGTTATTAGGAAAAGAGAGTTAGAGAGTTGACTGCGAAACGTTTGAATGATTTCGCCTCTCGCGATTTGTTGCGCTACATACTTCAATTGGTCTATTATACAGCCGTTCCAGAGCCGAATAAACTGAACAAATATGAATCATTTTCGCCTGGAGTCTATGGCGAAACATCATTCGAAGTTGTATGCCAGATGATCGATCTAATTGAAGCATCGCCGGAAGACGTGTTCATTGACTTGGGTTCCGGTGTGGGTCAGGTGGTTCTTCAAATGTCGGCCGCTCTCCCATTGAAATCATGTTTAGGCATTGAACGAGCCGACGTACCATCAAAATATGCCGTCGAAATGGACTTTACTTTTCGCCGTTGGATGCGATGGTTTGGTAAAAAGTTGAACGATTTTCAGTTAATCAAAGGTGATTTTTTGGCCGATGAACATCGTGATAAAATTACCACCGCCACTATTGTGTTCGTGAATAATTTTGCATTCGGTGCAAAAGTTGATCATGACCTAAAGGAACGTTTTGGTGACTTGAGTGATGGCACAAAAATTTTTTCATCGAAAAACTTCTGCAAACTCAATTTTCGATTGAATGAAAGGTATTTTCAAATTTCATTCGCTTCAATGTTTTCACTTTGCCTAACTAGTTCAATTTTATTGCAGAAATCTAAGTGACATTGGTGCCATAATGAATGTGAAAAAGTTGCCATCGTTACGCGAGTCGGTGTCATGGACTGATAAGCCGGTTTCGTACTATTTGCACATCATCGATCGCACCAAGTTGAACAGATTTTTTGAACAAAAGAATGACCAGAATGCTGACGAAAACGACAGCCACATTCGGAACAATAGAAACATTAATGGAAACACCAACAACCAAGTGGTGACAAGTGAAGACATCAATGTCAGTACGGGTAGCATCAAGCGAAATCCTCGAAATTGTTCGCGTAATCTAAAATACAATGTTTCTGCCGACGAAGAGGATCAGGAACAAATACAACATGATTTGAAGAAACGCAAGAGGATGTCGAACAAATCGGCACTCACAGATCGCACAAACTCGACATCAGGCACGTCCAATGCGAAGACACTAACCATATCCAATGCGGTGACAACAAGCATATCCAATACGATGACACTAAGCCCATCTAATACAGAGACACCAAGCCCATCCAACACGGCGACACCACCCAAAAAAATTGGTGAAAGTTCCAAATTAGCGGGACGAAAAGCTTTTGCACCAGCACATGATTTTACACCATCTCCGGTGAAACGTGTCAAAACATCATCGGTATGTCCAAATCCGTTGGCTTTGGCATTGAATGTGGCAAACGACCATGAACTAAACGTAGATTGGTTAATTGCAAGCGAACAATCAGCAAAGAAACATTTGAATGATGCTATGCAAAATATAACAAATTTCAATGCAAGAAGTTTCGAAATGATTATTAAACTAAATCAGAAATTGAATGCTGCGATGAAACGAATCGACATACTCGAACAACAAAAGGAAATTCAACAGCTCCAGATTGCCGATCTTCAACACGAATTGGACGAAAAAAGCGGAAAAGCAGCTTGTTTGGAATGCGGAAATATCATAAATATGATGACATATTGCAATCCAGAGTGTCATGAGAAGCAAATCATGTAAGCGACGTTGTCTTTTAAAAATATTTTTTTTCACACTGATTTGGATTATATCTTTTTTACAGCAAGCGCTTGGGACAAATGCTGAATAAAAATGGACTTTAAATGATTTTTGTCAATTTCTTCGATGTGCCTTGTCGCGCCACGTAATACCGCATTTTGCTTCATACTCCTCAACCCATGATACCAGCAATGGAGGTCAAAACTTTCAAATTTTTAAAATAAAAAATCGCAAAATTCCCGATGTTTTGAAATATCCATTATAAATCATATTCTTTATTTTTCTAAAATAATCATCATTGACCTAATGTAAAAAACATAATTTTTCCATTTAAATTCACATAAAAATTTAAATTTGCCTTAAATTTATGCTAATAGATCTGTAATTTTCAATTTTTCACAATTCCAAATAACTATAAAAAACCAGAGTCCTCATAAGGATATGTGGGACCTGCTCAATAGTTATTTACTCTTTCACCCAATTTTTTGTTTCAAGACATCTAATTCTTTCTGAAAACGTGCACCGTGCAATTGAAATAACAACCGGAACGTGTGTAATCATTGCAAATATTTTTTATCATTCGATTTGCTTTGACTCAAACGCTGCAATCCAAATAATTTGTTATTCAAATAAAAAAAAATAGTTAAAAAAGTCATGTTTATAGAGAAAATAAATAAAATTTGTTGATCGAAGAACTTGTATTTCTTTTATTTAACCTGAAGACTTGGTATTAAATCGAAAACAAACATTTATGTTCTATGAAAGTACACGACTCTACATTAAAATTCAAATGTTACACGTTTTATCGTGATTTCTTTATCTACCCCCTTTATTAAAGTGTTTCAAAAAATCTTATTGCATATAATGGCTTGAATTGAAATATTTGGCGTCAGTTTTTACCAATAAATTTGTATTGTTGCATGCAAAAAAAAAATTATAATAAATTTTCTGCAATGAAATCAACTTTGATTGTTTTTCAGTTGCTAATTTCATTGTCCTTCGGTGCGGTTCCTTTAAGTCAAAATGAATTGAAAGAAAAATACGGTCAAGGTATGTAATCGTCCTTTGGAAATTGTATTTTCAGAAAATGTCTTTTTTACCATTTCAAAATTATATTGTAGAAAATACAACGTATAATGATGGCAAAAGTTGTTACCGTCCATGTAATGGTACGTCAATGACGTGTTATTATGAATTTAAAATAGAACACTATGACACAATGTCAAGGTATGAATTGACTCTTTGTACACTTTCCTGAAAATCTATAAAATGTGCTCTATAGGCTATGTGGAAACTGTGCGGGAGGTGTGATTGGTGATTGTTTCAAAGAAGGCTGTATATCTGCGAATGGAGTCAGGCGCAACATAATGACAATTAATCGACAACTGCCTGGTCCTGCAATCAATTGCTGTGAAGATGATCGAGTCATTGTCGATGTTACAAATCATATGCCAGGTGCGATGTTCGGATTTAATCGAGTTTTTTTTATGATTTCGGACCCTAATTTAATTTCCAGGTACCGAGTTATCGTTCCATTGGCATGGTGTTCATCAAAGTGAAACACCTTGGATGGATGGTGTGCCAATGGTAACACAGTGTCCGATATTTTCCGGCGATACTTTTCGATATATGTTCCATGTACATGAGTCTGGTACACAGTACTATCATGCACATTCCGGTTTACATCGTATGAATGGAATTGTGGGTAAATTAAATGTTCGCGAACAAAATGATCCGAATGCCGAATATTATGATACTGATTTAAGTGAGCATACGATATTATTCAGCGGTTGGAATAACTTTTTGGCCGAAGATTTATTACCGAGCAATCCACATAAATATGGATCTTCTCCAGCCAGTATACTGATCAATGGTTTTGGAAATTATATCGAACCAGATAGTGGATACGAACCATATGCACCGATAGCCGTATTTTATGCGGTCAGAGGAATGAGACATCGTTTTCGTATTGATAATGCTGCATCAAGCAATTGTCAGTTTGAATTTTCCGTATGTATTGAATAGTGACGTATTTAATCGTTACGACGGTGGGTCTCGAAGTGATGATCCCGTCTTATGGTACCTTCGGACCAACCAAATTCTCCGCTCCAAATCAATTTTTGGGACCGATTTTTATCAAAATTTACATGAGTATTAAACCTTTAAAGGGTGAAATCAAATATTTCAATTTTCCGAGAAATTTTAGGGCGTTTCGAAATACTTCAATTTTTCAAAAAAAAAAAACGATTTTGACGGCTTATATCCATGGTGTTCATATGAACGCAACCTCCCCCTCTTTTTTTTTCTTTTATATTTTTTTTTCCTCTCCATCAGATAAAGGGACACAAAATGGCTGTTATCGCCCTTGATGGATCACCGGTGGAGCCTGTCACTGTCGATACCTTCTTTAGTTCCGCTGGTGAAAGATTTGATATCGTCATGCACGCAACAAAGGACCCAAACATTCGTGAGTTTATTTTCATCTCCAAAGGAACCTTCGAATCATGTTATTATGGTTTTTCTGCTACTTGCCTAGCTTTGATGAGATTTGCACATCGAGTTTAAATACGTATTAATTTGCCATAAATTTAATTTTCTCTTGAAAACACTACATTTACAGATGAATCATTGATCATAATTCGTGGTCTTGGTGGATGCCGGCGGAATAAACTCCAGGGATATGCTCGCATCATCTTCTTGAATGATTTTTCCGAGTTTTCACCTCGAAATTCAGACCATGAACCGCTGGAAAGTCGACCAGACTATCAAATTTTGGATAAAATCGAAAAAATTGTATATATGTGGCTTTTTTTCAAACGATAAATCGTTGTGTAAATCATTAAATATGTTGTATCGATTTCAGACATTAAATGATGCGACGACTCAATGTGGACAATCCGAAGACTATTGTATTACCGACTTAGAGTCAAAAGCACCTCCATCAACCGTAGAAAATTTGAGAGATGAATTGCAGTACCCTGTGTCCAAAGTGTATACCTTTCAATTTATAAAACATTTCGACCGATCTGACTCGATTTCAACTTCGCATTTCTTAAGTTATCAAAATTTTACCTTTATCACATCGATAAATAATATTTCAAGCACGATGCCACCACTTCCGATCCTTACACAAGATGACACCGATATTACGTACTGTAGTAAAGATAATTTACCACCGGATTGTAAGATCAATTCTGTTTGTTACTGCATTCATTTAATCGAACTGGAATTGTGCAAAGTGTATGAATTTCATTTTTACGATTTACTTGGTAAATTGATTGCAATTGATTCAAACAACATAATGATAGCAAACTGTTTTCAGAGACTGTAAGTCATCCAATACATATGCATGGCCATAGATTTCAAGTAATTGAAATGGTAACACAGGAACAATTGCTAAATGGTCAAACATCGTATAAAAATTCAACAAAATTACCAGTTATAAAGGATACGGTAACGGTGCCGGCCGGTGGATATGTAAAAATTCGATTTCGATCATGTAATGCTGGATACTGGTTTTTTCATTGCCATTTTGAATTGCATATGCACACCGGTATGACATCTATTCTTAAAGTTGGCAATAGAAGTGATATGGTACCACCGCCACCGAACTTTCCCATTTGTGGAAACTACTTACAACCAGTGTTCGATTGAAAATGATTTCTTTTTTCGAACATTATTTAGGAAAATATAGAAATAATTTAAAAAAAAAATGCGTTTTACTGATTTGGGACCCACAGGTATTGAAAATCAAACAAAATATTTTCACTTCAAATGTAAAGCATGTTGGTTGAATATCAGATCTGCTGCATTGGGAAAGGTATTTGAACGTAGAATATTCGTAATGATAAGTGATGATTTGTAATGATTGTGATCTCTATCATTTCCAAAAACGTATGAAACCAAAATAAAAATCCATAAATTTTCAATTAAAGTATTTTTCTTTATATTTCACGCCAAATATAACATTATAATAAAGCAATAAAATTCAACCCGAAATTCTTAACATTCTTCTTTCAATTCTTTTAATGTTGTTTTGGAAAAAACCGGAGCATCTTGATTTGCTGCTGCTCAGCATATAGCTGAGAGCTGAGAAATGCTGAACTCGTACGGCTAACGCGTACGAAACGGATGGCACGCACACATGCATTCTCCCCGTTTAAACGGTTATAAACAGTTGATTGGACGTTCAATTCAAAACTCAAAACTTAGTAACCAGTTGAGTTTGAAATTGTGTTGCGACCGACATATGAGAAGCTGCGAGAAAAACATCACGTCGCATCCCTCGTTATTTTGCTTACGTAAGTGAAAGCAAGAGATGAGATGCGACGTGCTGTTTTTGCTCTCAGTCTTTCATATATTCTGAAAGTGTACGTCTAACGCATACGAAACGGATGCACGATGCATATTCCCCTTTCACTTCGTATGTTCGCTGGTATAGTGTGTAACCGTTGTACCGGCAATAGCGTCAACGGCAGCACATACGAAGCGAAAGGGGAATATGTATCGTGCATCCGTTTCGTATGTGTTAGCCGCACGAGCTCAGCATTTCTCAGCTCTCAGCTATATGCTGAGCAGCAGCAAATCAGGATACTCTGGAAAAAACAAAAATGAAAAAAATTCGAACAAAATATTCAAAATATTTCATCCCAATAATCATTATAATCAAAATCGTGCTTGAGTTCCAGAGAAGCTCGTCGTTTCACTTCAATGAATTTCAATTTGGTGCCAGTTTTTGACCATTTTGCAGTCAAGTAATTGTCTTCTCTGACATACATCGTTATTTTTCTCGCTCCTGTCAGTTTCATTCGCGCGTCGTTCAATGCAGTTAATTTGAAAGTATTTGCATCAATTTCGTTATAAATGATAATCTTATTCAATTTCACTGACTCTTTTATGAACGGCATAATGTCTCTTAATTCGGCCCTGATAAATTGAATTGTTTCAAGATTGATGAGAGTTTGAGCCAGCTCCTTCATATTCTCAATATCTGAAGCCCGATCAAGACATAATTTCTTCAAATTTATCAAAGGGGATAGATCCACTCCATCATCCAGACCACGTACATATAATTTAGTAAGTCCATTGTACGATTTCAATTGATCAACGGCTGTTTTATCAAATATTGAATTGTATAAAACATGAAAATACACATGCAATTCCTTGAATTTTCCCATTCCATACAATTTATTCAAAGCATCTCTGGCCAATTCGAATGTATTTGTGTGACAGAAAAAAATGCTCAACACATCGAACTTTTGTTGAATGTTTTTAATCGTTTCGGAATTTTCTAAAATCGTTTCAACATTCAGTGCCAAATGTTTGATGCTTAGATTTTGTTCAAAAAATGTCTTCAACTCGGCAATTGGTTCCGATCGATTGATTATTTCTAACTCAAAATGTTCAAGCGTTGGATACTTTCGAAGCAACCAACGATTATCGCTGCCAACGATGGTATCGGATCTAATAGCTTGGATGCACAGTCGCTTCACATTTGGGCAAAATTGTAAGAAACTGTCGAAAAATTCTTTCGTTTTGTCAAAATAATGTGGAAAATTTAATTTCAATGTCTGTACTTTCTCTAAAAGCGGTTTAATACGCTCAATACCATTGTCTGTCAGTGTAACTCGCGTAAGTAAAATTTCTTCCAGCCATTTGAATCGATCGAAGTCCATATATGTTTGACTCGGATGTTCTTGCAATACTTCCAAATAATGGAATATAAATTTCTTCATATAAGAGGCCAAACCGTTCAGTCTCATTCTTTTATCATCTGTAACAATGTCATCTTCTCTACACAATGATTGAATGGCAGAATAATGGGTTCGTATATAGTTGCCGACAATTGGTTCCATTCGTTTGCATATACCCAATGCTATTAAACGGTCAAGCGAAAGGCAATCAAAAAGATCGATATTGATATTTTGTGAGTCATCGCTTTGATCTGCTGTGGATTATATATACATTTCAAAAAATTATTTCTGTAATATGTAAAAAAATGTTCATATTTACAGTATTGTCAAAGAAGCATTTTTTTACTTCAATAATTGGAAAAAAATTCGTATTCGAATTACCTGATTTAATGGCATTGTATATGATTACAGTTCTATTACTCTTAAAATCATCTTCTGAGAAAGCACTGAAGAAGAAACAATTTTCTGTCGAAAAATGAAATATATATTTCTTTTATATCAGACTGATCGACAGTTGATTTCACCGTTTCGTAAGTTTTTCAATATTGATTATGCCTATTAATTTACCTTGTATACTTTCAGTAAGAAGACTCGCACCAAGGAGAAGAACGATCACAAATGAAAATTTCATCCTCCGATTTGCTGAAACCAACTGATGTACTAACAACGGAGAGTAATGGTGAGACTTTTGGTAAATTATTCTGATCAAATAAGACGAGAACAGTCATGCTCTTATGACTGCAAGTATAAAACAACTGAATGGATTTGACGAGAGAACCGAACAAAAGTCTATACCTTTTTTATTTAACTTTGTTATGTTCTATCTTAATACATACAAAAAAGGCGTAAATCACTTGCGACATGACATTTTGCTCGCAATTTTCAATTAGAGCAATTGACAAAAAAACATATCAATCTTCGTAAACGATATTAAGTTAATATGAATAACACACAGGCTTTTTTCATTCGTGCTTGCTTTAATGGACAATGTCCATTGGACATGAACACACAAAACATTTTAAGTTTTTAAGCACTTTCAAATGTTTTTTCTCTTGCTTTGTACTACACGTTCGTAGATGGCACACAAAACAGCATATTGAATGTGTTTCACCATAAAATGCTTGAATGTAAAACCAATTTAATCAGGAATGTGTGGAAGTTGGGGTTAGCGGTGGGTATCCGAAGTTTTCGACCTTACAGTATAGATAAAAATGAATAAAACATTTTAAGTGATTTTTTTTTCTCTTTATTTCTGAAATCATTCCCTACTCACACAATAATTTAATATATAATCTTAATTTGAACCGCTTAGAATAAAAGTAGATAATGGTAGGAAGTTAAAAAAAATCTCAATCATAAAGTGCTATGAAAATAATACTCAATCAAGAAACAAAGTGAAAATAAAAATCGATCATAAATTGTGTTTGCCTTTTATTTTCACTCATTTTATGTATGACTTTTATTTTCACTTTTTCTCTTGATTGAGTATTATTTTTACTCATATTATGATCGAATTTTTTCAAATGAGTGAGATTAAAATGAAAATATAATTTATGATCGACTTTTATTTTCACTTTTTCCCTTGATTGAGTATTATTTTTACTCATTTTTTGATCGACTTTTATTTTTAATTTTTTCTTGATTGAGTATTATTTTCACAGAACTTCATGATTGAGATTTTTTTTTAACTTTCTACCATTATCTACTTTTATTCTAAGCGGTTCATTTATAAATTGAATGTAAGCTTCAGCGCTGCTTTGTTGGCTTTAGTTGCATGTGTCATATATTGAATTTAATGCATGTCAAGCAGTCCATAACTAAATGAATATTTTTTGTCAAATTGTTCAATAAAACCTTACATTTTGATCCAAAAGATACTAAAAACATTTATCTATTTTGCTCTATTGAGTTTTTAGCCAAAAGAAACCTTTCATTCAAATTTTTATTAAATTGCGAATTCATTTGATGGTACATTGAGTAATAATTACTCTATCATCTATATATTTGAGTGATGTAAGAATCATGATTGCATCAACTGGGTTTTTACCAACAATTAAAGATTTTTTTTTTGTCGCAAATAAAACAGAGAAAAGGACGTCGCCAAATCGCCTTCTGTTATTTTCCCTTATCTATTTGACATTGTAAGCTATCAGGCATTCGCAGATTTCAACATCCGTTCCATCATTGGACGTCAGGCGTCATTGAGAGTAAAAAAACAACACAATCTTAACTTTATACACAACAAATGTCTTATCAAATATGACATTAAATCGTTTCAATATGAGCAAAAGCATCCAATAACATTGTGCACTTTCATTTCACTATCAATATTTTTCGATGATATAAATGTAGGTTGGTCGACAAGATGCTGTAGTCAGCGTTCAATTTCAGAGCTGACAATGTTCACAAGAAATTTCTTTTATTTTTTGTAAGAGTGGTATTCTGTTGAATTCCACTAAGGTTTAAGTATGGTGAAAAATCCCATATTTCTTCCAACATTACTATTACTTTTCCACACGCACCGAGTGTGTGAGGTAAAGTATTTTATACTATAACAGATTTTGTACCTACTTACATGTTGAAAAGAGCACAAAATCGTGATATAAAGGTAATCATTAAACATTTATTTATATATATCGTATAAAAAGTGACATAATTAATTGAATTATTTTGAACATAGCAGATCCTTATCCTTAACATTCGAGACTAACCAAAGTGAATGATACTTTGATTCGAGTCAAAAATGCAATCATATATTCAGAATATATTAGACCAGCATGTTTGCAAACAGATTTACGTGACAAACCATCACAGGTAAATCCTACTGTTACCGACTGTGGATCTACATCACCTAACCGTAAGTTGCTATCTTTTAATTGAAGACATGAAGAAGCTAAATTTAACCAATTCTCTTCTAATTTTAAGGTCTCGCGTAGCTTACTCAAAATGGAGTCGGTATCGATGCCATGGAATGTAAATCTACGCTCATAGATTTGTTCCGTCCATCGAATGATTTGACTCATAGAAATGGTATAAATGGAGGGCAGTATTGTGCATATGATCCACAAGGAAGAAACGATTAGATAGTTGCCAAGGAGACAGCGAAGGACCCCTACAATATTTCCACCCGATTTAAACAGACACTAAAACAATTATTGGAATTGTCTTGTAGTGTCTATACATCAAATCTGCCATCCATTTATACCAGAGTTGCTTATTATTTAGATTCAATCGTACAACTTTTTTTGGCCAACGAATATTGCATACATCACTTTCGTTTTTATGTCTAAATCAATTAATATAAATATATAAGTCATTTTAAGAAAATTAAATCTACATAGCAAAATTTTTAACAATAATGTAAATAAATTCAATATTAAATGCTCTTTTCCTATCTTAAAGGCTATTGATTAGCAGGAAAGGTCAACAGATTTTCTACTATCAAACTTTTGAACTTTAAAGCTTTCGAATCGAAGAAAATCTGTTGAATTTTGACAAACTCTGTTGGAGTTTGTCTTTAGAATGAGAAGGCAGGTAAAATACCTAAGTAACAGTTTCCGCGCTGCATCCAAATTTCACCTTTTATGGAACGAATTTCTCAAAGTATATTGAATGACCATCGGTGTCCATTGCAATGACCATCGTAAGCACAGAGAAAAGGCTGGCGGAAAGATTATATTTCATCTAACGGCACATAAGCTATTTTTCTGTATAAATGTCCCTGAAGATGTTGACATAAATGGTTCGTTAATCGAGTAAATATCACTTGTTTGTTACTTTGGGGATGAAACCTAATGGCCAAACGATCGGTTCAATCCAGTCAAGATAATATGCGATTCGAGTGTAAATTCCCGGAAATGCGCCACATCCAAGTCCAACGGAAACAACACCAACGATCGTTGGCGAAGCTTCGTACGGACTTTTAAGCTGCAGTGGTCCACCGCTGTCCCCTTGGCAGCTAAAAACAAAACGAATTTTAATAATGTCAACATTTTTTATAGCAAATAATGATTGATTATTACCTATCGTTTCGACCTTGTGGATCATATGCACAATACTGACTCTGACCAATATTTTTAAGAGTCGGATCATTCGCAAGACTTTGATACTCCTTGAACTTTTCATTACACTGCGACAAAGGCACAGTTATCAACTGTGCTTTTAGTAAATCGTTTGACCTATGAGATTCCGCGCCTTTTTTCAGAGAAAAAACGTTAGTTTTTCGAATAAAAGTAAAAGAGAAATTGTATTTTTACCATCTGATGTGGTACTGCCCCATCCTGTCACGACTAGTTTTACATCAGGATGCTCATCACGAAGATCGGTATGAAGACATGCCGGCGAAATATTATTGGAAAATTGAATGGGTGACACTCTTATAAGAGCTATGTCATTCTTTCTGGTGAAATGCGAATAAAATGGATGCCGAATGATTTGCTGTTTGATAAAAACAATTTTTTCAATGCCAAATTTTGATCGCAAATCAGTCGAATATTGATTGAATTACCTTAATCGCGACATTGGTGGGTCTATGTATGTCATTATCATCATCGGTATCAACCAGTTTTAACTAATTTTAAATAAGAGAAATTGAAAATCGTCATTTTTAATCAATTTGATCATCTCTCACTAAATATACTTGAAAAATTTGAAAATAAAAGCTTTACTCACTTTACCCAAACGGCAAACAATCGGAGGCCGTTGTGTTCTTGCACAATGCGCGGCTGTCAGGATGAAGTTTTCCGATATGACCGTACCGCCACAGTCAAAAGTCACTCTATAGTTGGTGGAAAGGTAACCGAGAGCAGCCTATATCCGTAAAATTATAAAGCGCGATATTAGAAGCTATATGAAAATGTGCCAAAACTCAATGTTACCATCCACGGAAACTCTCTTTCTTCAGCAGGTTCACCGTTTAAAATTCGATTACTTCGCTCAAAAGTATAGGCTTTGCAGGCTGTAAGTAAATAAAAAGTCAATGAAAATAAGATCATTTTGTTTTAAGCACCAAATTTACTTTTCCACGATGTTCTAGCTCTGTGAAGCTCATTGTATAAATTTTGAACGCCTAGAAAATATAAAATATTTGGATTGTTATGTTGTCTTCATATTTGAAATCATTGCAAAGATTTTATTACTTGAGTAATTTGAGCTGCTGGTTTCGGTTTCATTTAGTCTTTTAAGAGCAATATCCGTTGCACTCTCTCCATTCGCTGCGCGTATGCTAATATTAACATTGTTCTCAATTAACAATTCAACCACTTCAACATGACCTGTAATTGGAATATTTATTTTAAATGAGGAACGATTAAACTCATCATGCTCTTCGACCACATTTACTATTTTATTACTGGACTCACTTGACTCCTTCTTTAACTTATTTTTGTACAAAATGGATCTTTTTACCTTCCGAAACCGCTCTATGTAACGGTGTTCTTCCATCCTTGTCTAATACATTGACATCGGCTCCATTCTTAATAAGTGCATCAACAACCGGTTGTTCACCTAAAATACATGTTTATATTGAAAATCATGATTATCAAACGAACAAATCGTTGACGTCAATAGGAAAAGAGAATTTTTTTTAGCTTTAACAAATAAATATTTTTCGCGAAATTTAAATGTAAAAAAATTCTACCCAATGCACTTGCAACATGAATTGGAAAGTCACCGTTATCATCTTTGGAATTGACATTTGACCCGTTCTTGATAAGTTCTTCGATTTTGTGCAAACTCATCGCATTTGTGCTGCAAATTCGAAACAAAACGACTTCATATTATAATATTTTTAAAGCACACAATCATCCGATGAAACAACGACACGAACAACGTCTTTCTTAATTCGTGGTTATCACGCAGTAATGAAATGAATATTCTATACTAGTATATGCAGATAAGGGACCGTTGCTTGACCGTGAAACAATGTAATTTGGTGTCAAAAAAATAATTTGTCTTCTCTTACACTGATTTTATCTGAGATGTTGCTTGAGGTGCTAAAATAAAATGGTTTTAATTAGTCGAATAGAAAAAACGACTGAATTTAAGCTTTTTGCACAATTACCCGAAGAAACACTAACTAGAATGGCGAAAAATACAGTTGTGAAACAAAACATCACAATGATTGGATTTATTGTGGAAATATTTTGAAAACTTTTGCACAAGAATATCCACAAGAAATTAAACTGAAAATCCAAATCTCCCTTCATGTATTCTCGAACACGATTCAGAAGAAACTACAGTAACTTTATTGAAATGATCACTGCACAGAATTAAAATGCGCAATACAAATACATCAGCGATTTCTCGAACAAAGATCAATTAATATATTTGCGTAGGTCACTAGTCTTGTTGCAGTGAATAGACTGACCCTGTGCACTGCATATTGCATACTGACACCGATTTTATGATACAATTCCGAATGAAATGTTCGAAATGTAGAACAAAAGATTGATTTAAGCATATATTTTTTATATAAAAAAATCAATATTGTTCTACATTACGGACATTTCGTTTGGAATTGTATCATAAAATCGCAGTCAGTATGTGTTTTGTACAAAATAGCGCCTGTGAATAGGAGCTGCGAAAATAGCTGCTTTATCTGTTGGCTCAGTCTATTCACTGATTGCTAGAAATCACATTTTGCAATTAAAAGCGATGTAAAACTTGGCTTCGTTGATGTTAAAATAAGCAGATTATGTACACGCG